AATCTTTGGTTTAAGAGCTCGTCCCTCTTCCTGTCTTAAGGACAGGGGACAGAGTCTTAGACAATGGGACATACTGGAGGTCAAAAGCACATCAGTGATGGGCCTGGAGCCAGTTTGATTGCAGAACTGGACACCATCGTGGTCCTCCTGGTTGAGTCTGGTGGTTTTTTAAGAATAGCTGAGGCTGCTCTGGAACTTGCAACCCTCTGGCCTTGGCCTCGAATGTGCTCAGATTACAGGTGTGTGACAGTTTCTTCTAATGAAACATTGCTTAATAGGTTGGCCACATGTCACAATTCATCTCACTCCTGGATGACTTTAGAGCAGTGTCCTACCTAGGTCAGGCTCTAGAGTTTGCCAGGCTGTGCAGTGCATGACCTTGGGCAAGTCATAGAAATGCTCAGTATATCTGATACTAATGAGAGGTCATGACTCCACCCTCCAGGAGGGGGCACTGTAAGGTAAAGGTCAAATAGGCTCCAGTGTAAAACACTACTAACGCTTTGGAAAGGGGCTGTGGGGCTAGCTAGCTTTCTTGAGAACCACCAGAGCTTTGGGGACATCCCTGGAGAAGTCAGAAAGGCAAGGGAGGAGGCAGGCCCCAGCTAAGGAAGTATGTAGCTCCTAATACTTCTCCTATCTTTTGGGAATAAGAAAGTCAGGCTGTAAGCCCAGAGAGCCTGACCAGGCTCATCAGTTTTATTTGCTAGACTGACCTACCCACATTGTTATGTACTACAACAACACTAACCAGAGAAGTTTCCCATCAAGGTATTGAATGAATTTCTTCTAAAACTGCATACTGATAATGTATTTGCCTGCAAGTCAGGGGGTCACAGACTCCTTAGTGTTCATGAATGCCAGGCAAGAAGTGCAGGGGTGTGGGCCCATGATCCTAGCCCTAAGGAGCACGGAGCAGGAGGCTTGAGAATTTGAGGCCAACCTGACTACATAGTGAGATCGCTGTTTAAGAAAAACAAGATCAGGCCTTCTCGATAACTTAGTGCAGTGGTTCTCAACCTTCCTAATGCTGTGACCTTTTAATACAGTTCCTCATGTGTGGTGACCCCAACCATAAAATTATTTCATTGCTACTTCCTGACTGTAACTTTGCTACTGTTATGAATCATAATATCTATGTTTTCTGATGGTCTTAGGAAATCCCTGTGAAAGAGTCCTTTGATCTCCAAAGGGGTCTCGACCCACAGGTTGAGAAACACTAGCTTAGTGGATAAAGACCTTTACCATGAAAGCCTAGCAACCCGAGTCCAATCCCTGGAATGTACATAAAGGCAGAAAGATGATGTGTCTGACCTTCATATACACACCATGGCGCACGCACGCGCGAGCACACACACACACACACACACACACACACACACACACAAAAAAAAAGACAACCTAAGATGTGACTCAATTGGAAGATTGTTCCCCCAGCATACACAAATACACAAAGCCCTGGACTTAGTGTCTATCACTGAATAGAACCAGATGTGGTGGTTTATGCCTATAATTGCAGCATCAGTGAGGTAGAAGAAGGTGGATTAAAAATTCACTGTCTTGGCTGGGCGTCGGTGGCACACGCCTTTAATCCCAGCACTCGGGAGGTAGAGGCAGGCGGATCTCTGAGTTCAAGGTCAGCCTGGTCTACAGAGTGAGTGCCAAGACAACCTCCAAAGTTACACAGAGAAACCCTGTCTCAAAACAAAAAACAAAAGCAAAAAAAAAAAAAAAAAAAAAAAAAAAAAAAAAATTCAATGTCTTCCTCAGCTACTTAGTTCTAGGCCAGCTTAAGATACATGAAACTCTGTCACAAAACAAAACAAAACCAGGCCAGGAAGTTTAATCCCAGTACTTGGGAGTACTCTGTGAGTTTGAGGCCAGCCTGCTTTACAGAGTGATTTCCAGGATAGGCTCCAAAGCTTCAGTGAAACCCTGTCTCAAACAAAACAAAACAACAACAACAAACCAACCCAAAAAGGAATCACTACCCTCTTGGGGTTGGAGAGATGACTCAGTGGTTAAGAGTGCTTGCTATTCCTTCAGAGGACCTGAATCTGGTTCTAATCACTCCTGTTGGGTTCTCAACCACCTGTAACTCCAGTTCAGGGATCTGACACCCTCTTCTGGCTTCTATAGGTCACTGCACACGAGGTGGGTCCAGTAGTGCGCGCGCGCGTGCGCGCACACACACACACACACACACACACACACACACACAGTAAAAATAAAATATTTAAAGCATCTTGGGGGTTGTAAGTGAACTAGGAGATCTTGGGTCTCTTTCACACAGATCCTGGTACCTGTTGATGATGGTGGGCAGGAAGCAGAAGAAAAACTTCTCGGGTATGGAGACAAAAGGCAACAGCCCCAGGTAGTAGAGTAGCAGTATCCAGATTGATCTCAATATTGTGAAGGCCATTGGCATCTCGGGGTTCTGGGTGGCAATGGGAGAGTGAGAAGCAGACTCCTTGCACCTGGGACACCAGAGCCCTGGTGTGGGCTGAAGGGATCAGGGCTGGATATGAAAGTCACACCCTGAACAGTGTAATGGTTAATTCTGTCAACTTGATCAAGAAGTAGTACCTTGGAGTTTGTTGAAACACGTGAGGGCATGCCTGCCTGAGGATGTTTCCACAGAATTAGTTAAGGGAGGGAGGAAACCCACCCTGAATGCAGGCAGCCCCATTTCTGTAGGCTAGGAGTCTGAGTAAAACAAAAGGAGAAAAAAGAAGAAGCCAGCCCAGACATCGTCTTCACAGCCGTCATTAGTGAGCAGCTGTGTTTCTCGTGCCCTCTCTACCTCCAGCTTGAACCAAAGTGACTATGGGTTAAGTTCAATGAAACTCACCAGCCATGAGTTATTTCCCGAAGTAACAACTGACCAACACAGCCAGTACTGAGGGTTCCCCACAGTTGGTCTCATGGTAACACCAGGTCAGTGCACATAGCCACACTGTCCACACTGTCGCACTTCTGCAAATCCTACTCTCAGGAACTGTGCTCACAGCTCGTTCCTGGGGCCCTACTGGCCCCTTCCAGCATAGGCTCCTTGGGCTGGGGTGGTTTCTAGCCCCATAACAGAGGAAGAGGGACTCACGGCAGCCTTGCACTTCTTCATGACCGAGTTCTTCTCTGAAGCCCAGATGGTAATCTCACTGCGGTCAAAACTCCTAGCCAGGTTGGCTACCTAGCATGGGAACCATGGGAGTAAGGGAAGCTAGGCCTCTCTTGGGCCTGCCCTCACCCGCCTGGCTTCAGTACCACCTTGTGGATGAGCTCCTCATTTTTTTCTTTTATCTCCACAATCACGGGCATCCTTGGGAACTCCTGGAATACATCCTCCAATCGTATCATGTGCCGATCTGACCCATGGGCAAAGTGGCCTGGGAGTTGGGTCATAAAAACTGGGGTCAGAGGGTAGATGATCAAAAGGGGGAGTTAGGGAGAGTATATGAGAAGGTGTACGTATCCTACCTGGTGAGAAATAAATCTCCAGTTCTTTCTTGTAGAGGGGCAGTTCCTGTGGAGAGTGGAGAAATACCATCAGGGTACATGTGTGCAAGTGTGCCAACATCCAATATGAGGGGCTGGCTGTGAAGCTCACCTTAAAGTCGAGGCTGTCCACATCCTTATTTAGGCCCGACTGGCGGGACAGGTTCTTGTCGTGTGACACTACTACCACGCCATCCCGTGTGAGCTGGCAGTCAAGTTCCAGGATATCTGCTCGCTGGGCCATGGAACTATGGGAGCAACAGTGGGTGGGGAGGAAGGCAAGGACCAGGGCATGTAGTGGAGGGGAGACACTTGGACAGAGTGGGACATGTGGCACCACCTGCACAGTTCCAAATCAGGAAGTGAATGAATAGCACCTTTGGCTGCCCTGCGGAGCTAACCCACAACCTCACATGCTGGACTTACTTCTTCATAGCCTCCATGGTATTCTCCAGTAGCTCTCCAGACCCTGTGTGAGGCAGTTTGGGTGGGTCTCTGGGGCATGGCCTGGTCTTCCTGCCTACCTTTCTTCCTGATGGTTTCCCACTTGCTTCAGGCTTCCTCTCTTCCCATCAGCCAAGTTGTACTGGGCTCTCCTTCCCTGTTCCATGTCCTCCAGGCCCCTGTGGCTCTGTATTTAGCATTCACTCACGCCTTGTACCTCCACTATGTGCTGACCACTATGGCACCCGTCTTCTTCTTAGGCTCGCTCCACCCCAAGTGGCTGTCAACCCCTCCGGCCTCCCTGACTCAGCTCACCTCCGCGGTGGGCAGCCAGACGGATAGGGAAGGCAGGAGCCCAGGTTGTGTGCAGCAGATGAGGCCGGCGCAAGAAGAAGATGGAGAGCATGGCATAGCTGCCCAGGATGGGCAGAACCAAGTACAGGATGGGGATCATAGCCTCACTCTCACAGCAGACGTCCGCCACAAAAGCCTCTGCTGCTGCCTGCTGAGCCAGTGTGGGCTGGCTCCACTATTGGGCAGTACCACGCCCGGGACCTGCTGAGCCTGCTGCTATGTTACTGGCACTTGGCCAGAATGCAGTATGCCCCAGGGTTGGGGCAGGCACAGGAACCCAGGCAGGCAGCCCTGAGCTTCATGTCCCCAGACCTTTCACAGGTCCCAACACCCCCTTCTGTTCTTGACCGTGTGTGTGTGTGTGTGTGTGTGTGTGTGTGTGTGTGTGTGTGTGTGTGTGTTAAGCAACTCCCCTCACCATTTTTTAGACCTTCCCATCTCCCATGGGTTCTTATGGCCAGGATCTGTAACTATCTTTGCCACTTCCAGGAATTTGGGGATGTAGGGTGCCCCTGAGTCACAGCAATCATCCCAGCTAGTTAAACAGGAAGCTGTTATGGGAAACAGAGTCTAAAGTAAAACTGACCCCTTTCCAGGAGACTGGAGCCAAAGACCACAGGGCCGTGGAAGGCAACAGCTGGGGGCAGGGGTCAGCTGTGAGAGTAGCATGCTGGGGGTCTCGCCGGCGCACAGAGACAGAGGCAGGGTCAGCCATATACACATCTCTATATTTATATATTAGATACAGGCACGGACGGGGAGGTGGGGAGGGACACCGGCTCTCCACGGGCCCCACCTCCACTTCCAATAACCCACACACAGAAGCAGCAAGGGCGTTACATGTGGCAGCTTTGAGGGGGAGAGGGTTTGGCCTGGGCCTGGCTCCACAGGGAAACTAGCCCTTGAGACTTAGGAATGTTCCTTGGGGGGAGGGGTGATAGGGTGGGGTTCCAACAAGATGAGTAGGGCGGAGCTTAGCCTGAGTACCTACTCAGTACCCTCCACCCTTCTGTAGCATAGGTTCTAGGGCAGTCATAGCCCTTCCATTCCAGAATGGTCTGCCAGAGCCAGTACTAGCGGGGGTAGATAAAGGCAGAGCAGCAGAGATCAGCTCTGGGGTCACCTCACCACTTAGGCCCCGGGGAGAGGGGAAGGGGAATTGGGGTGAAAGGAGTCTGTCTGAAGCAGGAGACCCCAGCAAAGTGAAAGGTGGCCAGGCCCACCCTTGGTCCAGCCTGGGCTGCCAGGGTCTGGGTTGAGCAAAGTTCATTTTCTAACAATCTGCAGAGAAGGAGCAGGTAGGAGCAGGACCTGAAGGAAGAAGAGAAAAGGACTATCAGCTGGGAAGACACACAGAGCCTGTGGCCAGCTCCCTTCTCTGTAGCCAACAGCAGCAGTCACCACCAAGTGCTACTGTGATTGCTCCTCTCAAAGCCATAATGGTATATCACCCCTAAGGCCTGGGGTGGCTCCTCATGGGGGAGGGCCCTTCACCTTTGTGGGTTCCCAGTGGATGCTGGCGACAGGAGATGGACAGGGCTAGAGGATAAGCAGTTTACAAAAGACCGGATGGGCCACAAATGACTAGCAGGTCCTGGCCCTTCTGTTGCTACCATAAGTGTGGATAATGAGGCACCCAGGCTGGGCAGCCTCTGATCAGGGTGTGGCTGTGTGAAAGCATTATGAGCCACTCACCAGGTCTCAGGGAACAGGGATCTCTGTTGTTGTTAGGGGGCCTCTGGTGCCCCTGGCTGGAAGCGGGCTGTCTCTTGGAAGATCAGTTCCTTCAGCCTCTCCTTGGGGAGATCATCCAACTCCATGTCAAAAGTGAAGGGCTCCTCAGCCACTGGCTAGGGGGCAAAGACAGTAAGGCACAGGCCAGGCACTGGGGATACTGATTCTCCTCCCAGCCGCTGGTGGCCAGCCCACCTCATCTGTTGGGTCATAGTACTGTTCCAGGTATGGGTGAGCCAGTGCTTCCTCTACTGTGATACGCTTGTTGGGGTTGAAGGTTAACATCCGGTCCAGCAGGTCAAGAGCTAAGGGAAGGCAGGGGCAGCAGTCAAGAAGGCTCAAGGAGCTCCCTATAGGCATCACTTTTCCAGGGCCTGTGTACTGAGGCAAGCCTTCTTTGCTGCTGGGTTTTAGTCTACCCCCAGTCCTTTGTCTCTCTTACCTTTGGAGTCAGATTTGGGAAAAAGCTTGGCCCATGCCACCTTCGTTTTAGCAGGCAGAGACTGTAGGTAGTTTCGGGCCTTCATGTTGATGATACAATTAAGGTCCTCCTGGGATGGGGAGCCCAAGATACCTGTGGAAAAACCAGTTGTCTTGCTGAGACATCAAGTCTTCTTTCTGGGAACAGGTCAGGAAGCAAGAACAGGAACCCAAGCCCAGACACCTGCAGCCACCTCCTCATCTACCCACTGGGGCAGTGGCTGATGACAAGCAAAAAGCTTGAGGACCAGGGAGTCCTGGGCTCAAATCTTGACTGCAGTCTTCCTTAGCTGTAGGGCTTGCTTTTCTCATCTTTCAAATGGGAAAAGATCACTTACAGAAATACCATGAGAGGCTCCACATGTGGTACCCCAATTCTCACCCTCCAGAAATATCATCTCTGATAAGCTAACTCCCATCCCTTTGAGCCAGCCAGGCCCTGTCACCTAGAATGTGGTTGAGCTGGTCCAGGTAGTGCTTGCCAGGGAAGATGGGCCGGTTGGAGAGCATCTCAGCCAGAATGCAGCCCACAGACCAGATGTCGATGGATTTGGTGTAGCCCTGGGGAGGAGAATGTGCTGAACTCTCTGGTCAGCCTTATCAGTGCCCTTCCTGGTATTTGGGCCAAGCACTACATCCAACTTAGATCCAACACCAAGCAAAGGGCAGAGAACAGAGCCTAGGAAAGTTCTAATCTCTACATCTAGCCAGAGCCCAAGGGCCAGAAGGATTATGCCAAGGCCCAGAGATAGTTCTAGGACTTCTTTGCAAAATCAGGCAGCTCTCCTACCTTGGAGTTAAGCATGATCTCTGGGGCTCGGTACCAGCGCGTAGCCACATACTCCGTCAGAAAGCCAGTGTGGTCATGCTCAGGGTCAGCAATCCGGGCCAGGCCAAAATCACAGATCTGGAATCAAACCCAGGCCAATGAGTTAGATGCCTAAGGCCTCCACAGTCCAGGAAGTACCCATGCTCTCTGCCTATGTTGTTCTTGCTTGCCATGCACCAAAGATGCTTCTCCTGGTCATGCCCCAGACTCAGGGCAGGAGAGGCAGGCATTTGGTCTCTGACCTTAAGGTCGCAGGTGGTGTTGATAAGCAGGTTGGAGGGCTTCAGATCCCGGTGGAGCACATTGGCTGAGTGTATGTACTTGAGGCCTCGAAGGATCTGGTAGAGGAAGTAGCAGATGTGGTCATTGCTCAGCTGCTGGCTCTTAAGCAGCTTGTACAGGTCTGTCTCCATAAGGTCCTGAACAATGTAACTGAGGGTGATTCCAGAGAACCCCCGGTTTGGGGAGTAGGAGACATTTGTTAAGGAAAACAGGCTCTGACTAGTAAGTCATATATATATTCCTTCCAGCTAGGGCCCCTAGGCCTCAAGAGCTTCACAACGCCTGCACATGATGGCATGCAGGGCACATCTATTCTGGGCCCTCAGTTTCCCTATTGGGCAAATGAGGGTCCTGATGAATTGTTGTGGGAGAATTTCAGAAGAATAGCAGTTCTCAGTAACCCACTCATGTCTGAAGTCCCCGTTCTACCTCAACAGCTCCAGGTTCTTAACCCGTCCATGCCTCAGCTTCCTGACCTAACAAGCAGAAAGAATAACTTTTTTAGAGGTGGCTGTGAGGACAAGATGCCCCATGGAAAATGCTCAGCAGACGAGAGATGCTGTTGTTACTCCATGGGCAGAGCCATGTGGCCGCTGAGGGGGCTAAATGAGATAATGCATGAACGCCATCTGGCACACAGTAACTGTTTGCTTAAAAATAAATGCCTGCCTTATGGGAATGATTTGTGTCTGAAAAGTGAGGAGACACTCCCAACAGCACGCTCCTACAGAGTGCTCAACCATACACCAGAGGGTGGAGAAAAAAAAAAAAAAAAAAAAGATAAAACAAAGATTAAACATAAATAGTTGGGTTGTGGTGGTGGAGCACACCTTTAATTCCAGCACTCAGGAGGCAGAGGCAGGTGGATCTCTGTGAGTTTGAGGTCAGCCTGGGCTACAAAGTTCCAGAACAGCCAGGCTACACAGACAAACCCTATCTTGAAAACCAAACCAAACCATACCAAAACAAAAACCCAAAAGCATAAACATAAATAAGTGCCATCTGGTTTGTCTCTATGGAATAGTCATCAGGAGCTGGGGGCATACCTTACTCTTGTAATCTCGGCACTTGAGAGGCAAGGGCAAAAGGAGTATTAGAAGTTTAAGGCCAGCCTGGTCTACAAAGTTAGCCTCAGGTCAACCAGGGATACATAGTGTTACTCTCTCAAAAAGTAAGTCTGGACTGTCTTCTACACAGGACTTGTGAGCCGGGCCTGGTGGTACTTGGGAGGCAAAGGCAGTTGTATACCTGAGTTAAAGGCTAGCCTGGTCTACATCCTGAATTACAGGCTAGCCAGGGCTACCCAGTAAGATACTTTCTCAGAAAAAAGAAAAGACGCACATGCATATATACACATATGGACCAACCCTGCTGCTCTCTATAGAGGTCTAGAGATACAGTGGCATGTTTAAGGTCACACAGCAAGCCAGAGTATGGAGATTTGTGTGCCGAGTTACAGATGATATTCAGTGAATCCTGGGATTGGGAAGGGTGGGTAGGGAAGAGGCCATGGGTGTTACAATCTGCTAACATGGGAGCCAAGCAGGAAGTAGATGTGGACAATGAACCAGATATTTGAACTATGCAAGCCGTATCAAGCAAGGGCAACAAAGGCTGGACTGCCTTCCCTGGGCAAGGTGCAAGTCCACAGGTAACTAGGGTGGGGCTCTCAGAAAAGTGGGAATGCTCCAAGAAAGCCAACTGGGGGAAGAGGGGAAGCGACAAACAGAAATGGCTGCTTTTAGGCCTTGGCTCTGTCCTGTGACTCTAAAGTCCCCCTTGACAATACAAAGTGGTTTCAAAGCCTCCCTGCTCCCCACACACACCCCTGGACAGAGCAACACCCTGTCCCTCAGGAAGCACTGCAAAACTGAGGGTTCTCAATTCCCTCACTTTTGATATGGAAGTGGTACAGCTCATCTCAGGGACATTGGAAGGTTGAATGAGAAGCATCAAAGCACTATGCCTGCCCAATACCAGCTTTCTTCCTTGCCTTCCTTCCAGTCTGAGGTCTCAAAAGAAAAAAAAGAATCATGAGTCTGTGTCTGTTTAGCAAGAATGGACTGTAGGCAGAGACTGGTTCATGTCACAGAGCTGCAGAGGTCAGAAGACAAAGCACCCATAGAGATCGCTTTGACCAGCACTTCCCCCACACACACCACACTGGGACTTGTCCAAGGCCACCCAACTCTGCTGCAGCACACCAGGATCCACCTAAGGCCTGCCAGTGCTCTGACACTCTGTGGATTCTCTGCTAAAGTTATTTTGCTGGGTGGTACATACAAAAGACAAAAAGAGAAAGCAAACCCAAGTTCCCTGGCCTAACTCTGGGGCTGTGTCAAAGGTGGAGGAGGATACACATCCCTCATGGCTTCCAGGGTGGGTGCTCTGAGGATGTCTCGGATGCCTATGACATTCTCATGGCGGAATCGCAGCAAGATCTGGATTTCTCTCAGTGTGCGCTGGCAGTAGGTTTGATGCTCGAAGGGGCTGATCTTCTTGATGGCCACTCTAGTCTTGCGCACGTGGTCATAAGCAGAGCTGAGAGGGCCAGAAAGATGTGGCCTTACAAAGGGGGAATCCAGGCCTAGCGGCCCCACCCAGGCCTTGGCAGGGACGGGAGAGAGCAGGAGAGTGCTCTGGCCAAGTCGTAAACAATGCTGGCTCCTTCCTGCTGTGAAGGCCTGGACTCTCCAGGGGGAAAGCTGGGGACCAGCCAGGCAGCCTTTCAGTGACTTCACAAACAGAGGAAGAGAGTGGCCACTCACTGATTTCCTTTCTCCTGGACCCTCTTCCATTCTAGTGGCCCTCACCCTCCTCCCCTTTCCCAAGCTGGGCTCTCTCCAATCCAAGACAAGTCCAGGGGATTGGAGTTAAGTGGAGGATGTAGATGAAGACAATGCGAGAAGATTCAGTAATGGGACAGGAGAAAAGAGATAAGGAGTCGGTAGTTTTCCCTGTGAGGTATCTGGGTGGCAGAGCTGTCCCCACATGAACAAAGGCCCAGAGCACACAGTGGGGCAGAGAGAACTCACAAACCTGTACCCCACAAAATAAGGCAGACCCGCACGGACCCCTCAACGTTTTTGGGGCGCCTGGTCTTGTCAGGGCCAAGGGTTTGCCCCACCCTGAGCTTTGCTCTTCTTTTCGAAACTCTCAGACACCGGGGGAATCAAGGCTCCCACTACCAGCCGAGGGGTCCTTCACTCCCCATTAAGCAATAATACTCATCCTGTAAGCTCCACCCTGTTTCTCTAGGGTCCCTCTGGTGCCCCTCCCTTAACAATACAAGGTGGCTCCAAAGCTCCAACCCCCCTCCACGGAGAAAGTAGCGTCCAGTCCCCCAGAAGTCACCGCATGATCCCTCCCTGCGACACTCCCCAGACCTCCACGTCCCGGGCACGCACCTGCTGTGCCCACTCTGAAGCCCCCTTCCCCGGACGCCCCCTCACCTGACCATGCCATACGCGCCCTCGCCGATGTACTGCAGCTGCGTGTAGCGTGGGCCCACGTCGAATGGCTGTCCCTTCACCACCTCCACCTCCCCCGGGACCCCCGGGCCGACCCCAGCGGCTCCCCGGGGCTCCCCGCCCCCGCCCCCCGGAGCCGCCGCCGCCGCCATCTCCACTCCGCCCGCCTCCCCCCCGCTGCCCCGCCCGCCGCCCCGCCCCTCCCGCCCGCCCTGTCACCCGCGGGGCCGCGCGCCAGGCTCCGCCCCCGCCCCCGCGCGCCCGGCCCCCGCGCTTGCCCGGCGAGCCCGCGCGGGCCCGCGGAGTCACGTGGTCTTTTAGGCGCGCGCCCGGCTTTCCCGCCTATGAACGCTGTGCTTTCCAGTCCTTGGCCACTGGGGTACCCTGGTAGGCCAGTAGAGTTCTGCAGCTCTAGGGGCCAGTGGCCCTCAGGGATGCTAAGGGAACCCACCCGTTTCAGTTAGCTTTGGAGACCTACCTGCCTCTTAACTTGTTTTATTGAGACAATATTAATCCAAGCTGGCCCCAAATAGCCTTGAACTCATCCTCCTGCCTTTACCTTCCTAGTCCAGGAATTACAGTCTCGAGCCATATATTTCCATATTTCTTTTCTTTTTAAAAACTGAACAGGCACCAGGCGTTGGGGACACACACCTTTAATCCCAGTACTCAGGAGGTAGAGACAGGCAGATCTCTTTTGAGTTTGAGGCCAGCCTGATCTACAGAGCTAGTTTCAGGACAGGCTCCAAAGCTACAGAGAAACCCTGTCTTGAAAATCCAAAACCAAAACAAAACAAAAAGCTAAACAGGATCTCTCTACATAGCCCAAGCTGTCCTGGAACTCACTCTGTATACCAGGCTGGCCTTGAACTCACAGAGATCCATCTGCCTCTGCCTCTGCCTCCCAAGTGCTGGGACTAAACAAATACATGTGCCACCATTCCTGGTGATACTTTCTTTTCTTTTTTTTAAGTTGTTTTTTTCAAGACAGGGTTTCTCTGTGGTTTTGGAGCCTGTCCTGGAACTAGCTCTTGTAAACCAGGCTGGTCTCAAACTCACAGAGATTTCGCCTGCCTCTGCCTCCTCAGTGCTGGGATTAAAGGCGTGAGCCACCAATGCCTGGCTGATACTTTCTTATTCATTTCTTTAACACATTTATTTATTTTGTGATTTGGGGCATGAGTATACCACAGAGCCTGTATGGAGGTCAGAGAACATCTGATTTCTTCCACCATGTGGGCCCAGGTATCCAATGGGGTGTCAAGCTTGGTTGGAAGTTCCCACATCTGCTGGCTCCCCTGTGGTGTTGGGGTAGCATATCATCTTACATTTTTAACGTGAAAGCAGCCTGAAAGGGGGTGGGTGAAGGCATCAGAAAGCTGCTGTAAACTCGGTCTGACTCCAGTGTGAAGGGGCAGGCCTGCAGCTGGCCATGTGTGTTCCTCTGCCTTGTTGCCCAGAGGACGGGCAAACCCAGCCTACCTCACATGAGAAGTAGGGAAAGGGTTTAAGTTGTGAACAAAGGTGACTAAATCAATTAAAATATATGATTAGCTTCTCTCTGACACCCCCCACACACACACCCCAAAAAGCAAAACCAAGACCCTGGATTTAGGCTGGTAAGATGTGTGGTTATGTGCACATGAGTGCAGGCATCTACAAAGGCCTGAGGAGTCAGAACCCCTGGACATGGATGCTGGGAGTCAAGCTTGGGTCCTCTGGAAGCACAGTATGTGTTCTTCATTGTTAACCCACCTCTCCAGCATGAAAATGTAATTTTTAAGTTTGGATTTGAAAATCTGGAGAGATGGCCCAGAACTTAAAAGCACATATTGCTTCTGCTGAGGAACCAGGTTCAGTTCGAAGCAGCACGTGGGCTCCCAACTATCCAATTCCAGGGGATCCAACACGCTCTTCTAACCTTCTGGGGCTACTGCATGTAATATCACATCCAGCTAAGTTCAAAATTCTGGGTTTGGACCTGGGGGGTCTTGTGGGTTCTGTATGCTTAGCAAGGCTAGGGTGGTGGTGGTATCATCGGATTAGAAAAGTTACAGCACCCAGAACCAGGCACCTCGGTAACAAGCAGCACCCACAGGATTTGGACCGCCCTGGCCCCTGATCAATCAACGGACCATGTGGCTCTACACCCGTGGGCTATCTTCCAGCAAGCACTGGAACAGGTCAGCTGTCACCTGTTGCTGGCCTTCAGCTCTCTAGGCTGTCATGAAGTTGACAATAAAGTATCGGTAACATACCCCTTCCCCAATCCCCTACTTCTACTCCCAACAAGGCTGGTAGAGTTTAAGAGTTGACTTATTTCTTTCTTTTCCCCCTGTCTGTCTTTAATAACCCAGTGTCCTGGCTAGTTTTATGTCAATGTGACACAAGCTAGAGTCATCTGAAAGGAAGGAGCCTCAACTGAGAATAAGATCCCACTGTAGGGCATTTTTCTTAATTAGTGATTAAAGGGGGAGGGCCCAGTCCATTGTGGGTGATACGACCCCTGGGCTGGTGTCCTATAAGAAAACAAGTTGAACAAGCTATGGGATGGGCAGCAAGCCAGTAAGCAGCACCTCTCCATGGCCTCTGCATTGGCTCCTGTCTCCAGGTTCCTGTTCTGAGTTCCTGTCCTTTCTTCAGAGATGTCCCACAAAGTGGAAGTGTAAGCAAAAAAAAAAAAAAAAAAATTCTTTCCTTCCCAACTTGCTTGTGGCCATGGTGTTGGATCATGGCAATAGTAACCCTGAATGAATAGAGCCCTCAGCAAACATCCCCCAGAAGTCATTAGAGCTGAAAGGTTTCTTGCCTCTGTCCCTGCCCAATCTGTCCTATCTGTTTGGTTGATGTGTTTTATCAAAGAGGTCCCAGGCTCAGAGATGGCTTAGGACTGGTCATCCCAGCTAGTTTCCTGCCCCTCCCCCCTTCTGCATCTATTCTCACCCAGAGGCTCTCACTCTCTGCCTTCCACTTGAGTTCTCCTAAAGAGAGAATTGCTGAGTGTGGTCACACAAGCCTGTTATGCCAGCACTCTGGAGGGTGGAGAGTCTGAGCCTGAGCTACTGAGTGAGACATTGTCTCAAAGAGTACAGTTTCTCAACTCAATAGCTACATTTCAAGTGCCCAGAGTCACTGCGGTGAGCAGTTCACATGAACTTCACAGACACGGAAAAGACCATAGTCAGAGTCCCTGTCATTGATTCACATTGGACAACACGGTTCAAGAACCTTCTGAGAGTAGGCCTTTTACAATGACTTTAACCTTTTTATTTATTCTCTCTCTCTCTCTCTCTCTCTCTCTCTCTCTCTCTCTCTCTCTCTCTCTCTCTCTCTCTCTCTCTCTCTCTCTCTCTCTCTGTGTGTGTGTGTGTGTGTGTGTGTGCTGGGCAGTGGTGGCACTCAGGAGGCAGATGGATCTGTGAGTTCGACGCCAGCCTGGTCTAAAGAACAGTTCCAGGAAAACCAGGGCTATATAGGGAAACCCTGTCTCGGAAACCGGGTTTAAAACAATTTTTTTTTTTTAATTATTTTTAAGCGATATAGGCAGGAGCTTGGCTTGTCTGGTGGCTGCAGAGAAGGAAAGGATCCAACGAAGGGCCAGGATAACCCTAAAGAGGCACGCCAGGCTGATGAAGGCACGCCTCGGGAAGCAGCGAAAGCACTGGAGGGACTTTTGCCAGATCGTATTGCCACTGCAGGAGAATACAGTGACTCAGAAAAGCTCGGTGAGGTTCCGCTTAGGGTCGGTTTCCTGGGCAGAGTGAGTTTCCCGTGCCCTGGAAAGGTTGGAATGATGGGCGGGCCGTACCTCCACCCTCTGGCCTCTGGGTAAGGGAGCGCGACTGCGCTCTCCCTCTAGTGGCCGAGGTTGGAATTTCCTTTAAGGATTGGGCTGGAATTTGGGGGTTTCTCAGACTACTTTATAGATCAATATTTAACTGAAGTAAGAAAGACAAGGTGACACACATCTTTAATCCCAGCTCTTGGGAGGCAGAGACAGAGGCAGAGACAGGAGGATCTCTGTGAATTCAAGGCCAGCTTGGTCTACAGAGAGAGTTCCAGGACAGTCAGGACTATATAGCCATAAACAAACAAACAAACAAACAAACAAGCTAAGCTAAGATAGACCGAACATCTATTCTCCACTACTCACCTTCATGTATATCATCTCCTACAATCTTCACATAGGCCAAATGAAGGAACTAACACTGATGTGTAGCAAGGGAAAAGCAGACACTGAACTACAGAGAACCAAAGGACTTGGGAATTGCTCATGGCTAAGAGTGGTGGTCTGAAAGAGAATGGTACTCATAGACTCATATATCTTAATAATTGGTTCCCAG